ATGTCATATTTTTGTAAAGAACTCATTTTTCTTTGTAAGTATCATCATCACATCAAGTGAAGAAAGGAGTAATTTAGGCCAGACTAACCCATCTTAATTAAAGCATTAAAAGATGTGCGTTTGAAAGATCTCAATTCCCTCCACATGTTATAGAAACAAAAACCAGACAAAAAACACAATAAACCTTCTATCCCATAGAAGTCTGAATAACCGATTAAAAATTTCACCATCTGCTCTCATTGAAGCAACAAGACTGATAGATATTCCCATTACAAACCACGACATTCAGAATGTAACAGAATGAGAAACGCAAACATCTTTTTCCCCCTTTCTTATTTGCTGTTATGGTTCTTAATAAAAACTTGAGCTATACAAACAAAGGAAAGGGGAGGATTCTCCCCCGCCCCATCTCCTAATTGAGCACTTATATCCAATAGTAGCTTTTTGCTGCCCTGGGCAGCATGACATTGCCTCATTGGCCATGAACAGCAATTATTCTAGGAGGCAGCTAGTGAAGTGCCCCAATACATCTGCTCGCTTTTCATGGGCTGGTGCTTTCCTTGATGTTGACAGCTGTCTTAATATTCCTGAGCCACCTGCCACGTAGCAAATACTGTGCTCTAAGACATACAAAGTTCCCCCCTCTGGTGGACTTCTCAGGACAAAAAGCTTAGCATTTCTAAGTTCCACTTGCATCCTTGTTTAAATGCTTTGTGGATCAGCACTTTCAGTGTATTCTTATACTTTGAGGTCTATAGTGCTAATACTTTGGGATTTACTTACAATGTGATGGACTTCAGGGTTCCTGACATACCAAATAAGCTATAGAATTACACAGTTTGTGGAAGTCATGGTGGTCACACAAGGCGGAGATAAACAGAGCATACTCACAGTAACCTCCTCTAGTAAGCCTTCCTAAACCTTCTAATTAGTATCTCTCTCTCTCTCTCTCTCTCTCTCTCTATATATATATATATATATATATATATATACCTAGATTCCCTTAGAAAGATTAGATAGATGATAGATAGATAGATAGGTAGATAGATAGATGATAAATAGATAGATCTAGATATATGTACCTTATACATTCCCTTAGAAAGATTTCCACTGTCATACCCACTTTGCTCATGTCTCTTCCATCAAACATGCTCCTGAAGAGAAAGCATTTGGTCTTACGCATCTTTGTATCTCTAAGAATGAACATGTATCTGATACATAGCTGGTATTCAGGACAGAACTAAATTTTATGGTATCTGAAGATTTGTACAACTTAGGGGCAGCATGTTCCTCTTTAAAGAAAAATGATATAAAATTAAAGATTAAATGGAAAAGTGAATAAAAGGTAAATCATGCAAATTACTAATTTTAAAAGGTTGATTAATATTACAAATATCAGAAAGTCTAGAACAACAATATTTTTCTCCACTAACTGCCCAGCATACCCCTAAAATACTTATTTTCTAATATCTTTGGTGGTATGCACTTTGATAGACTTTCATATCACAATGATCTGTAATATAATTTTCTAAACATATAATGGAAAGAACTCAGCCTTTCCTCAAGTTCGTTGGGCATATTTATTATTGATAGAAGGGCTATGCAAGCAGGTAACACAATACACTCCCACTCACTCTGCTACTGCCACAGGTCTGTGCCTGCAAACAAGGATTCTGATGAATTCTATTTTACATGATTTTTATTAAAAAGTTTGGCATACTTTCAGTCATAAAAAAATGTATACACTGCATTATTGAACATGTTATTATGAGATTACATTAATTAAAAGTGGTTCTTCCTCTTTCAGTTTTGTCTTTTGATGCCTATAATAATTTTCCACAAGTCACCTTTTGCTATTGTACATTTCAAATCTTGTTTCACCTCTACTACCCACATTGTTGGAGTTAGGAGCCTTAGAATATGTTTATATATTGAATAGGATTTCTGGTAGAATGCTTAGTGTGTTACACAATGGATATGTTGGAATTTACTCAATAACTCTGGAGAAGTTTACAACCACGTAAATATATCCCACCAAACCCAAACTAAATGTATTCCCAACTCAAATTCCCCAGCTGATCCCAAAATGCCCCCGATAACTCCAATACCAACTAACTCTAGGACTAGTGTGATGGAGGGAAAATCCAGGTAGAGACTGGGGTCTTAGTGAACTTCAGTTAAAACATTTACTTTTGTAAATTTCCTAAAAACACAGGTACATGTAATCACATTTCTTGAGTCTATCTTTGCAAAAGATTGCTAGGGAGGGGCCTTGAGGCCTCAGCTTCATCAGCTCCATAGCTTATACGAGTCTACTACTGATACTAAATGTTTTCTGAACCACTGAGTGAATGAAGGCAACTGTGCTAAATTAGCATCTCTAATATCTTCACAACCCTACAACATGTTTACTTGCTTCCCAATTCAGTCTTAGAACTTAGTATTCAGAAATGTTATTATGAGCTCATAATATAAGGATGCATGACATCTAGGAACTGAAAAATATTTGAAAAGTAAATAAAATTTAGGAGTCACTGTTTTATGGCTTTAAGCTAATTTTTCATAGACAAAGTTTCCCTTAATGGATGCAGGGCACCATATGTATTACAATTCATTCAAGTGCTTTGTTCTAGCACAAAGTGGAGGTTAGATCATCATTGTTTATTTCATGAATTAGTTGCTTTTCAGAAAAATAAGTATATATTATCATTGGTCTATATTGCCCATTTAGGGACCTCTAATAACATTTATATTATCTTATATGGTTGCAGACTATCCATTAATAGAAGGGATTCTAGCTGGATGACCATTAGCATTATTTCTACTATTTATACTATCACCACCAACACTGTTAAATATTTCAATGAAGGGCTTTACACATCGTGACTCCGATGCCTTCTCACTTAGTAGGGATAGTGGCTATTGAAGAAATATGACTATTACAGCATTTTCCTTGAGAACTCTTTTAGAGAAATTCTTAGAGAAATTTATTAGTAGTTAAAATCATAATTCAGTAATAAATCTTACTGGCTCCCACCCACCTTTATCATTAGAAAGACTTTGTGAACAATCCCCCCTCTGGACAGACATGCGGGGTAGGGACTGTTTTGGTCACAGTACAGTGGGAGACACATCTGGTAGTCATTTGACTTTCCTTTGGGGAGATAAATTATTCTCTGGGCCTTCTAGCTAGAAGGAACAGATTGCTTCATTTTCTTCCTTGCTTTCCTATTCTCTGGGCTTCCTGGTAAATGGTCCTTAAATGGAGATTCTCCCCTAAAATAATACAATTAGAATTGGGAACTTCATTTGTCTTATTCTAGCCTTCTCCTATTTTCTCAGACTTTCAGAGAAGGCAGCAAGATTTGCAAAAGAGGACACAATGGTCAGTCTTGAGGGAGAGTCTAGGATAAACCCAGCTGAAGGAAACTGGTCTGATTAAACTTTGGTGGGTTAAATCGAGCCAGAACAAATTAGGGTGGGTGCCCTGGGCTCTGCTTCAGTTAGTAGAAGCCGAGGTGCTTCTAGGAGGCAGCTTTGGGGTGGCAGAGAGGCTCCACAGCCACCAGCTGGTGCTGAAATGGCCTGGAGTTTAGGCAGTTGGAGCTACTCATAAACAACCTTCTCCTCCTCCCCCAGCTCTCCGAAGCTAGAGGTGGGATGACCCTAAGATATATTTCTTCCCATCCCCAACTCAAAACTGCCTTGGACATTTCATGTTGAAGTCATTTATTTACATAAGATTTTTAGTGAACAGGCATGAGGTATCACTTCTCTGATATTTATTCCCTTTGAGTGGTAGTTTGGCTTTAAAACAAATTAACCAAAATGAAATCCCTGGGGTGAATGGGCCACAATGTCTTCTGCACTGGCCGCTAGGGTATTTTAAAACAACAACAACAACAAAAAAAACCCTAAGAAAATCCATACTACTGCAGCAGTGAAATAAGTCAGACACAGAAGAACAAATACTACGTGATACCATTTATATGATGAATCTAAAATAGTCAAATTCGTAAAAGCTGAGAGAAGGAATGGTGGTTGCCAGGGGCAAGGGGGGGCGGGGGGCAGGGGGGTGTGAGTCAAAGGGTACGAGGTCTCAGTTACGCAAGTCCTAGAGTTCTGCTCTATGGCCAAGTGCCTATAGTTAATAGTGCCGTATTGTGTACTCTAAGATATACTAAGAGGGCAGATCTTAAATGAAGTGTTCTTATCACAAAATAGAGTAAGAAGAGCGAGCGCAGGAGGAAACTTTTAGAGGTGATGGATAGGGTTGTGGCATAAATTGTGATGATGGTTTCACAGGTATACATTTATCTCCAAACTCACCAAGTTGTATCCATTAATTGGGTACAGCTTTTTGTACTTATAAAATTTTTCACAAAAAGAGAAAAATCCATACTCCTGTGTGTTTCAGCACTTTCAAGTTTGAATCCTACTTGTTTTTGATCCTGTCGTTTTTTGCAAGAGGGTTCGCATAGTAGTAGCGCGTCATGGAGTATGAGAAATTTAAAGCAAATCTGGTTTAGGCAAAGTTACTCCACAGGTAAAGTAAGCCAGCCGAATAAGAAACAGGTTATTGACAGAGCCAGAAAATCACTTCCTTCACTTCTGAGGCTCGGATTTGCAGGCCTGGTGGGAAACTCGGAGTACCTGTTAGCTGCAGAACAGCCCAGGTCACATAAATTTTAGTTCAATAACCTCTTTCAGAAGTCTAAAAATTCCGTGCAGCGACTAGGGGATAGAAAACAAATCAGTAATTGAAAGTCAAGATTGAGCGCAAAGCCAAGTAGGCTGCAGCCTAAGCTCGTTTATGCGGGTGACCCGTTCCTGGGTAGTAGGGGTCTCAGGCCGGCGCCTGCAGCTTGAGGACCCTGCCAGCCCTGGCGGACAGCGGCGGGGCAGGGGCGCGGCAGAGGCGGGGCAGAGGCGGGGCAGAGGCGGGGCCACGGCCGGGACGCGGGCTCTGGCTCCTCCCCGGGGCGTGCCGGCGGAGGTGGGAGGCGGAGCAGCCGAGCTACGAGACGGGACTCCGCGCTGGGAGAGCGACGAGCTCGCGGCATTCCCGCCCGGATGGACAGAGCCACGCCGGCGGTCCGCCCCGAGTCGCTCTAGCCCCCGCCGGGTCCTGCGGTGCCGGGCTGGGCTACGGACGCAGGGCACGTCCTCTCCCTGCCCTCGCAGACGGCCCGGGACCGGCTGTCGCTCCAGGGAGATGTCCGGTGGCCGGAGGAGGGGCGGCGCCCCCTGGCACAGCCTCTCCCGGTTCTTCGCTGTCCGAAGCCCTTCCCGGGACAAGGAAGAGGAAGAGGAGGAGAGGCAGCAGACAGGCCAGCCGCCTGCTCCGGGCCGGGTCCCTGCCAGGTGGGAGGCTCGGGGCGTCGGGGATTGGGGTGGGGGGGCGCCCTGCGCGGACTCGCCGGACCAGGGCTCCTCGCCCGACCGCCCGCTGCCAGCAGCTCTCGTGCCAGGCTGCATTTGGCTCGCCACTTTCTGTTCTCCTTCCTCCATTGCTCAAGTTTCCTCGTTCTCGCCCAGTTCCTGGACGGGACCTCTCCCCTCTCCGGGGTTAGTTAAACGCGGTGCTGTTGGTGACTCGCGGCCGGGCGCCTCCCTCACGGGCCCGGCGCAGCCGGCGCCCTTCCCACCTCCCTCCCCGTACGGGGTTCAGTTCCCGTTCCACGTTCGCGTCTGCTCGCCAAGTTCTGGGGCAGAGGCGAGTCCCCCCGCGCGCGTCCTGCCGGCAGTAATAGGAAACAGTTGTGGGCCGGGCCGTGCCATCAGCCAGGGCAGAAAGGGCGCGATCCGACCGCCACCGTCGTGGGGAAGGTGAAGCGTGGGACCGCCCCGCCCCTCTGCCCTCGCAGCTGTTATTTTGCCGGCTTATTTAAATGTTCCCAAAAAACGATTTTTAAAAAATCGTGATACTGAGTTTCCAAGACTTCATCAACATATTAAAACCTCTCTAGTTTTGTTTACCATTACCTGGACTTTTAAATGATGCCGCCCCTCTTTCTTTTCCATTTCTCTTCGGAAACATTTTCCTTCCCAAGCAGAGCCCAGAAACTAGTATTCGAACTGCTTGGTTTCAGTAATGAAAACGTACCCCTCCTCTGTAACCTTTTCTCTTTCCTCCACCTGCTGTAAAAATCGATTTTTTTTTTTGACGCGTCTCATTGGGAAAAAAAAAAACCCCAAAAACCCAAAACAAACAAAAGAAACCCCTTTCCGGAGTCTTTCCACCCGTCCTGAAGGAAGAAGAGGGGTTAAAAGTAAATACAACTTCCCATTTTAAACTGTTGATGAGAAGAGAGGCTTAAACTCTCTCCTTCCCCAAATTGCACTAGAAGAATGTGTAACCCATGTGATTAGAAGGACGGGCTTCAGAAAGCTATATTATATATTTCATATTTTTAAAGACTTCTTGGAGGACTTCAAAGAAAACTGGATAAGAAAGAGAACTGTAACTGTGACCGAGCTGGTTCCATTTGTATTAGTTTTGTGATTTGATTTAGTCGGTTTTGTATTCCTAAGTTTCCGTGCTTGTGAAATATTTGCCTTATTACCATCTGTTAATAAAATCCCACATCTTTTCAAGGAAGCTCCTACTAAATTGGTAGACTTCTCTTGAAAAGTTTCAGCTCTTATTACTATGACTGTTAATGGAGAATTTAAAGTGCAGAGTTACACAGTAGTTAAAAATAGTTGTGAAGTCTGACAGGGCTCAACCAGAATGTCAGATCTGCGGGTGTGGGCAGAGAGCCTGTGGTGTCTGCCATTGCTGCGACAACATGACAATCATGGATAATACCGAAGCAGTGTTTAAAAGAAATCCCAAGAGGACTCAACAAAAGTTGGAAACTCCAGTGTTGGCAGAAAGGAATAGGTAGGCCAATTTCAGGTTCCTATCAGAATTATTCTGGAACTCTGCCTCCATTTCTGCACTATTTTGACTTTAAGGCACTTCTCACATCTAATTTTTTCTCTGGAGCTAACCAGACTACCAGCTAACTAGTCTTTTGTCTACTTACTACTTCTCTATTCTTATCTCCAGACAGGCCACAGGCTGTGGCCTTTTGACAATGAAGATTTTAATTGTGTTTATATGAACAGTAATTTTGTCCACATCTTTTTTAGAATTTGCCAGATGTTATAGGGATAGTAGATAATCCTTTCTGTGGGTATTTTACCTTTTAAATGAGCTTAAATCTTTGTTTCCAAGGATATAAACACAAACAAAGCCTTTATTGAAAGTTTAATGAAACAAATGGAAATGCTTAGTGGTACCAAATGTCCTAGTAACACAACACCCTGGTGTTAACAAGATTGGAAACAGAATTGCTATTTGTCACCCTGATCTTATTTCAAAATGAAAGGGTATTTTGGCTGTTTCTCTTAGAGACAGTAAAAACTTTTAGTTTTAATGGGAGCCAGGTTTACCTTCTGTACTAGTGATTTTAGATGCAGAGGAGTCCAGTCAGCAGACATGCAGGGGTTGGTGTGGTGAGGATGTAAAGCTTCCATGGTGTGCTGTAAGTTATTTGGACTTCATGTGGTGTGAATACATCAGTTGTGTGTTGAGTTTGCTGCTGCTCTAGTCTCATTAACCTTTAGCAGTTAAAGAAGCCTGTTAGCATTGACCCTGTTGTATATGTGAATCCCGGTGTGAGCACTCCAATTGCTTTCCGTAGCACTCATCTCTTAGGTGGTTGACCACATCCAGAAAGTGTTTATATTCATTTATTTTAGATTATATAGGCACTGGCAAAACTAAGTTTATAGTTCATATGGAAAGTAATACAGTAGTTAATAAATAATACTGGAATAAACTCTGTGTTTTCGCATACTCACAACCGTAAACCTACTTTTGCCCATCCTGATAGAGAAAGGAAAACTGCAATTAAACTTTTACATGGATACTTGAGAAGTTTAAGTTCCGTGGCTCCCAGTTTGAGAGTCACTGCTATGTTTAGCCAGGTTGATGGCACACAAGGAACAGACTCATGATAGAGGAGAACACAGAGGGCTTTGTGGTGGACATGGTTTTTAATGGGGCCTTTGAGGCATTAGTGGTATTTCTATAGGTAGGAAATTTAGACATGAAGATAACGATAAATTGGAAACAGGTCTTCTGTGCTGAGCCAGGGCCTGCAGGTGGCTACAGTCTGTTAGGGGCTGTATACGTTAGTGGGACAGAGTGAAAAGAGGCAGTAAGAAAGTTAGGTTGAAGCTGGATTGCCAGAGTATCAAACAGAAGGTTTGGCTCTCGATTTAAAGTTTAGAGAATTTTTACAAAAGCCTGTTAAACGTGCCCTGCTAAAATGTGAAATTTGGAGGATACCTGCTTTGAGAAGGTGATTGTTCAACTCTGTTTCTTTGCCATACCACACATAGCGGACCTGTTCATAATGAGCTCTCTACAGTGTTTGTAACCTGGGAGAGGGATAGGACGGTGAGAACAGCATCTGTCAAGGGCTGACTGCCCTTCTGGCCTGGTAGTTTTTCTTACAGCATCTCACTTAAACCTCACCCTCAGCCTGGATGGTTGGTATGCTTACTGCTATTCTGACAGTTAAGGAGACTGAGGGTGGGAAAGTTCCTAATGGTGGACATTGTTCCATGTTGGGTGGAACAGTTCTTTGTTGAACTGGACTCTTCTGTCCTTTGCAAGACATTTGGCATCTGTGACCCTGCCCACTAATTGCCAGTAGCATCCTCCAGTCATTGGAATAATCCAGAACACCATCCAGGTGGGTGGGAGGGAGAGTGATACCAGTCTAGCGGAGAATGATTTACCCCAAATTATGATGGAGTGAAGTTCAGGAGTGAGGTGGGAACTTAGGTTTCCCTGACTCAAAAGCTCTGGTTCATTTTCTCTCTCCATCCTACCCACCACCCTTCTGAGCTATGCTCCTTCAAAGCACATTAATATGTAAGTCAATTGGACCTTTCTTTACTTTGCTCAAGGATGAGTGGCAGTGCGGCCGATTTCAGATATATTTTTCTGGGCTGATCCTTTGCTTGTCCCAATATAGTGTTATTGATAGAAGGTAAGACAGCATCACTAGACTCAAAGAGGGGGACTTTGTCCTATTCATCTTGATGTCTCCTTAACTAGGTCAGATGAATAGTGAATTTCTGTTTGTTGATGGAGCATTAAAGCACTTATTAGTGGTTTTTGGCTAGGGGTAGTACACACCCACCCTATCCTTGAGCGTTTAAAAACATAGAAGATCCTAAATGTCTCTAGATAGTTTGCCTCTCAATTTAAAGTTCAGAGAATTTTGCTTGTCACCGTGTAATAGCTGAGGCTGTTAAATGCGTGAAGCCAGGATGCTAATGGCTTATTGTATTGGGGATATTCTCATAAAAATTGTCAATATGCACCTGATGCATGAGATCCGTTGGCCTTAAATTAAAATACCAACCAGTGTTGGTATTTTATATGAGGAAAGGGAGCTTTGTTTTCTGAATTTTCATGGTGACTCTATTGTCATCAGTTTGAAAGCGTTATAGAAAATAATTAATAACTAGTTTAGTTGAATAGGAAATACCTGGGTGGAGTTGAAGGCCCACATCAGCAGTTCATACCTGTAGTAATTAAAGGTGACTGGAAAATTCCTGAAGTCCTCAGTGGTATGTTTTTCTAAGAACCTTGAGTTCCCAGGTTAATGGAAAGCACAGAACCCACTCTTAGCAGTGGAGTAGAATATAGACTGTTTTAGAGTGTGAAACTGTAGTATTTGTTTTCCAAGTGAAATATCTTTCTTTTAGATTTAACGGGGTGTATGCCAGCTGCCTAATTTGAGGATTCTGTTTCTTGCTGAGGGCATTCCTTGAAAACTAACTCAGTTGTTTGCCAAATGTGTTAGAGTTGCACACGTACTTCAAATTGGCCTGCAATAAATTTATGTAATCAGAACCTCTAACTGTATTGAAACAGTTATAACATTTTTGGTGTTACCCTTTTCATTAAAAAGGTAGTAGCAAATTTTGTAAAGAGGAGAATATTCCCTCAAGATGAAGCATTTCCTAACTAGAGTTCTGATGAATTTCAGTGAAGCCCAGATATACCAGAAATGCTAATACAACTGAGTTAGCAAGAAAACACAGGTTGATGGAAATTTAAACTCAGGAAAATAATGCGAGTTCGTTCCTGAAAAGAGGATCTGCATGAAATAAAAAGTTAAAGAAGTCATATTTATTTTGAGTCTTTTCAGTCCATTAATTTGAGTGTTTACTGTGTGTCAAATATGGTGCTAAGCAGTGGGAATATGAAAATGAATGACTGACCAAAACTGTCCAAAAAGAGGTCATAACTAACAGAGGAGATAAACATGTGCCTCTCTTCCCCATTTTAAGCT